CTTCGGCCGACCCAAACGTGAGCACCCCATACGTATAAAAATAAAGTACCAGTTAAAATATAGATAGCGAATTGGTTTTAGTCTTAAAATGTTCCTCAACTTATGTGTTTTCAAAATAAACAGAATAAGATTTTTGTTTTGGTTAATGTATTGATTAACTTGTTTAATGAGATTTCAGAAAAATTTTTATTTATATGTATTTATATGTATTTGTATATGTATTTGTATACATTTTTAAAGTTATTTAATATGAGTTAGGAGTAAGTATTGCAAAGTTGCTAAATATTATGGAGAATGTGTCACTGAGATTCTGAACAATATATAAATTCATATAAGTAAACATATGTTTAATTAATTTTTAACATTCCCTTTCTAATAATAGAAACAAAATGTAATTTTCAAAATTAGTTACTCTTTAGTAAACTTTAATTTGTATTTATATAGAATCTCTTGTGTATTGTTTTTCATGATAATATTACATGAATGATAGTACAGTTCACGCTACAATTACGTGACTAATACATGAAGGATATATTTGTTTTATGATGTATAAAAGAATATGGTAATAGAATATTTAGATATTACATATATAATTGTTTATTTAAAAAATTTGTATCAAAAAATTACATTAACAAAAAAAAATTAATGTGATTTTTATGCTTTTAAAATCATTGTGCATATTTCGGGAACACATAAATTGAGGAATATTTTAAGACTAAAACCAATTTGCTACCTGTATTTTAACTGGTTAGGTACTCTTGTACGTATGGGGTACTCACGTTCAGGTCGGTCGAAGGGGATAAGCACGAAAATTTCATTGTGCATATTTCGAGAACACATTAATCGAGAAACATTTTAAGACAAGAATTATTTCGCTTTCTCTATTTTAACTTGATACTTTATTCTTATATCAGTAGTATATATATCTTTTTTTGCGTATATTTTTTAAACTATTACAGATAGACTAATTTTGTTTGAGGCATTTGAAAGCACATAAAAAGCATATAATTCTAGCATATTGAGTTTTTTATTTTATATGTAATTTTAATGAGTGGGGGTGCTAGCTTACGTTAAGCCAGCACCCTCAGTTTCAATTGCAATTTCCCACGAAACCGCTCGAGCACAAAAATCGTGAATAGAGCACATAATTAACGCATAAAGACCACTTAATTTCTGCATATGTGTTATTCCGGTTTTTTATGGAGGGTGCTAATTTAACAGACATAAATACATTATATTACTTTTTTACCTTTTAAGATTTTTTCCTTTGTTTACGGATGTTTGCAAATCTAAGCTATTCCATTATAGAGTGTTCCAAGTCTTTCTCTGTATTACAAGGGATTGTTGTCTAATAGCCTCTAAAACAAGAAGAATTCAATATAGTTTAGATAAGAAAAAGGTTGTAATTTAATATATACATAATTTAATTATAATAAGCAGCTTTACTTACGACTTGTGTAAAAGCTTCTTGGTCATCTTTTAGCATTTCTAGTATCTTGTACAGAGTTTTCCTTATAATATATTGTTCACTGATGTTTATCTTAGCCAGGGTCAAATTTTTCAAATGGTGGTTTTTTGAATTTGATACAACAATTGATCCCATATGTTAAGACATATTCATTGCCCTGTACATATAAAATATGCTTACAATAATCTATTTATATACTTTAGAGTGTGATTATAGCACATATATGTGAAAAAAATATAGAAATAAATAAAAAGTCAGTTTTGGTCTTGTTTGTACTGATCGTTTGTTACATATCTATCAACTTTATACCAATTTTATACTAAATTACTTTTACAGTGATATATGCAAACAATGATGTATTAAAGCCGCACAATACTTCAACAAATCGTCTTCATGCATAGTGTACCAGCTTATTTATACGTTATCATTTACATATTTTGCTAAATTTTGAGGTTATTTTATAGAAAGTTACACTGTTTGATACCATTGAAATAATAGCGTTGACGAACCTTGATGATATTTTTAATGTCCAAGGACAAATCTATTATAGAACGTAAAAAAATTAATTGATATTTCCTCTCTTTTGTAAATCTCTCTTGTAAATTGGAAAATGAATCCTACATCACCAGCTACTATTCATAGCACAAATAATTATAGCACGTATATGGTTAATTGAATTCTTATCATTAATATACAACTTTTAGAATATAATAGTTACTACTTATATATAAATATGCTGTAAATAAAGAGCACTCCGCACTCCTCGATTGACACACGTGTATACGCACTCACGCATCGTATGTAGGATAATCATGAACATCATGGCTGTCGCGATGAGCGTTGCGCACAATATAAAACGATAACATTATAACAATAGAAAGTTAATATACTACCAACGTTATTTCTGAGTCCAAATTACAAGGAATTTTGAACTGTTGCATTGGTCTCAAATAAATGTCAGAGTAACATTTGAAAAATATTTTCTGTAACGTTTTCAAAATATTTTAATAACATTCAGAAAAATCATATTACGAAATAATATTTTTCAAATATGTGTATAATATTATTAAAAAACGTTTAAAAAATACACATAAAGTCAATATTTCTAAACGTTAATTTAATGTTCCTTGCTTACTGGGATGCCTGTTCACGTGGAGGAAGGAAGGCAAAATATGACATGTTAGTTGCAAGCAATGATCTGAAGAAATTAGAGGAAATCATAGAGAAGCTGAGTAAAATCTTTGAGACGAAGAATCTTGGAGAACCCAAAAACTTTCTGGGAATAACAATAGAACGAAACAAAGAAGAAAGATATATGAGCATCCACTAGATGCAATATACTGAGAGCGTACTGGAAAAGTTCCATATGAATGAATGCAAGCCTCAGAGCACTCCCATGGTAACCAAAAGGATGAGCAACAAAAACAAAACGAGTAAATTAGAAGAAAAGAACACTGGAAAGGAAATTATAAGAGTACCTTATAGAGAAGCAATAGGAAGCTTAATGTATCTAGGGAATGCCACACGACCTGATATAGCCTTTGCAGTGAATTATTTAGCAAGGAAACAATTAGAGCCTACAGAAGAAGACTGGCAAGATGTAAAAAGAGTCTTCAGATATCTTAGAGGAACTGCGAATCGAGGATTAATGTTTAGAGGCGAAACAGACGTGTTAGAGTCACTAACAGACGCTAGTTTCAGAGATTGCATTGATTCTACATCCACTGGAGGATATATAATCAAACTATTTGGAGATGTGATAGCATGGAGAAGTCATAAACAAACATATGTTACACTCTCCACTTGTCAAGCAGAGTATCTAGCAATGAGTGAGGCCTGTCAAGAAGTAATCTCGTTGGACAAGTCGCTCAGATATGTTGTTAGAAGAACATTCTTGCCTATAACAATCTGGTGTGACAACAGAGCAGCAAGAAACTGCACTAAGAAGGATGGAAGTCACAAACTTAAAATGTTTGATGACAACTTAGAGGAAATAAAGAAAAACTTAAGAGAAAGAGAAGAAACTGGAAACAGAAAACATATGGCTGACACTCATGGAGATTTTATCAAACAGTGTGTTGATCAAGGAAAGGTGAAAGTCGAATGGATTGAGACCAAAGAAAATTTGGCGGACATTATGACAAAACCTTTACCTTTAGAAGCATTTGCATATCTAAGAGATAAGATAATGAATATAGAGTCTAAACAAAATTAGAGATTAATTTTACTCGATAACTGATTCTTGTTGTGTTTCAGATAAAGACTAAATTTAGAGAAGGACCGCGGATCGCTCGGGAGGGAGTATTGAGAGCCGGGTTTTAAACGAGCGATGCGCTCCCGCCTCTAGAGAGGGCAGCTCCTGTGTGGCGCGCGCATTCTAAGCGCCACTCGTGCGTTGCGGTACGGTCGTCTCGGTCGTGTCCTTAAGAGCCTTGACCATCGTGGAGTCAAGACGTATTGTGTGTTCTTGTGAATCAAATAGAGTTCCTATAGTATAAAAAACTTGTACAATAAGTGTCTTGTCCATCTCTACACATCTCGCATATCGTTCCAAGCGATATAATTACAATAGTTTTTCAGTTTTTTAGTTTTGAGTTTTTTAGATTTACGAAACCCGCACACACGTTTCACTTACTGTCGCACCTTGAACCACTATCCTGGGCCCAAATAACCTGTTGGATTTTAAGTTTATACACGTGGGCAAGATAACGAACAGTTTATTAAGTTTCAACGGTACATGTGTGTGTTCCTGAATTATATCGTGTGACCGCAGTCACGAACGATCTCGACTCACAACGACTACTTTGTGTTTGCGCTCCGGAGTCCGCGACGTGAGTGAGCTCCGCGCTTTGTCTCCTCACAATCGTGAAATCCTTCGATCAACATGCGAACACGCATCGGTCGCGTGCCGCTTCAGTGTACTTTTGCATAGTGAACACAACTTATTGAAATTATATATATATCTAACATTTTTAAAAACACTTAAAAATAAGAAAGACTCTATTTTTATATTCGACAACGTTTGGCTAGTGTCGTGACAATTAGACCATTGGTTTTGGTCGGATTAATCGTCAAGACTTTTTCGACCATAGATTTTGGTCTTTCTACATTGATATAATCTTTGATACTTACATATAAGCATCTCATTTTTATTAAATTAAATTATTAAATTTAGGGGACTTGGTTAGCGGATGTGGACGAGTGAGTGTCTGAGAGTGTTGTATGTGTGCGATAATTCTAGCAAATATTTAAAGTAGGTGATAGTTTGTTAAGGTGCCGGGGGGCAGGAGAGGGCGAGTTGAGAGGGGTGAAAGCGGCGTAATTGAGGGGAAGACGCAAAAAGCGACAGAGAGGCAAATAAGTAAGAATTAAAAAAGAGAGTCAGAATAAGTTAATGTAAGATAAAGTAGCAACACGCGGTAGGCACGGTTAATTTACAGAGGTAAATAAGAAGTCGAATCGGTAGGACGGGTGGTGACTCGCGGCGGGGAGGGTAGGCGGTACTTAGCAGGCGTGCTTAAGCTCCGTCTACATGTCGAAAGAAGTGCAAGGCACAGACAAAAAGAGGACCGCGAGGGAACTGAAAGGAAGGGAAAGAGCAGATTCGTTGAGCATACTGGACTACGTACGAGGTGGAGATAAGGAGAAGGAGAAGGAACATAACAAGAGGAAACAAGAAGAGAGGGAAAGACTGGCGGATAAAATATTTAAGAAAAGTAATATGATGAATAGAACACTATCAGGTTTGAAGCAGACAGGAGAGGAGAGGGAGATAACGAATGAAGAAGGAACACTGATGGGGATGCTGAGGGAACTTAAAATAGAAATGGTAGGACTGAGGAACGAGATAAAGGAAATAAAAGAAAACTGGAAGCTGAGAGTGGATAGAATAGAGAAGAAGCTGATGGAGATGGAAGAGAGAATGAAAGAGATGGAGAGACGGAGAGGAGAAGCCAGAGTTGCTAAAGTAAAGTAAGTAAACTAAAGTAAAGAATTAGTAAAGCAAAATAAAGGAAAAGAAGAATCGCGAGAACGGAAGGGGGAAGCAAAGGACGAAATAGGACAAGAAGTTAGAAGATTGAAAAAAATAATAGAAGAAAAAGAGAAAAGAGAGAGAAGGAACAAGATAGTAATAAGAGGGTTGAATACAAACACAAAGACGAGAAGTATAAAAGATGTAGCTAGGGAATTTCTAGAGCAAGAATTTAAGATAAAAGAAAATGTAAAGAGTGTTCAAACTGTGGAAATGGAAGGAAGAAAAGTGGTAATAATAGAATTGGAGGACTGGGAAATTAAAGAAAAGATAATGAAAGAGAAGAAGAAATTAAAGGACAAATCTGTAGGCAGAATCTATATTGACCACGATATGACAAAGACGGAGAGAGAGGTGCAGAGAAAAATAAGAGAGCGTGCAAGAATAGAGAAAGAAGATAGGAAGATAGTTAAAGTAGGATATAAAAAGATGAATATAGGAGGAAAGCAGTATGTGTGGAGCGAAAAAGCAGGAGAACTAAGAGAAAAGAAAAATTTCTAGATGATTGCCAAGTTAGGAAAAGAGAACCAGTAAGTTATGGCATTCAAGAGGACAATAGGCAAACAACACGAATGGAGGTCGGAAAAGTGAAGCAGCTGAAGAAAGAAAATAGGCGAAAGATAATTTTTTGGAATGTAGCAGGTATCAAGAGGCAGAACAAAGATTTTTGGAATTACATAGTAGTAGGTTTCGATTTTATAAGGTTATGTGAAAAATGGTTGGAGGAGAAGGGATGGAATAGAATTAAGGGTAAACTGCCGGAAACGCACAACTGGAAAAACATTAACGCTGTAAGGGAAAGGAGGAAGGGTAGGTCGAAGGGAGGTAAACACTAATAGGTATTAGAAAAAATTGGAGGTCGGAAGTGGAGAAAAATAAAAGTGTAATGATTACAGAAAGTATTGCGCGAACGAGAATAAGAGGAAAAAGGAAAAAGGACTAAATATTTTTACAGTATATAATGTAGGAACAAAG